GGGGGGCACCACCTGGCAGATTGGGAACTCGGCGCCTATGTCCCTGGCCCCACACCCCACCTAGGGACGGCCCTGTATGTATGTATGTATGTATGTGGTATCATCCAACCCTGACTGTCCCAGAGCTTCAGAGAATGTCCAAAGGGCCTGTTGCCCCATCTCTTCTTGGGCTGCAATAATGGTGGAACAGTTGATATTATTATAATATTCATAAAATACCAACATTGCGCTAGGTTCTGTACATCTAGGTATGAAGACTAGGTTCTTGCCCTGAAGAATTTACAGACTATACACAAAGAAATAATGCAAGAAGGAGATGAGGATGGGACAGAAATCAATGTGTTTTGAGCACTGAAGTTCTGCACATGTCTTGTGAGCATTACTGTTTTTTAAAAAGAAGAGTTTACAGCATCTGGCTTGCTAACTTCTCGATGAGGAGAGACTAGAAGCTTATGTAGGAAGAGCTTGAAGCAGGGTCTGGAGGGAAGAAATCATATTGAGTTAGGGAGAATGGGTTTCAAATGTAGTGGACTGCATGGGAGAAGGCAGAGAGAATCAAAGAGCTGGTAAACTCACTTACATGCAAATTCTCCTCCTGTGATCCTCTGGGGAGTTGCTTACCTGTCTGCATCCCCATGTTGCAGGAGCATGACTAGATATGGGACAGAGACTCAAGACACAAGAGTGACGGTCAATGAATGCTTCATTTCCTGTTAATGCAGGTCTTTTGTATGGAGTTACAAAAGACCCTATAAGGCCTATTTAATTTAGCACCTCTAAGCCCCCACACCAGTAGTTCTCAACCTTTCTATACCATGACTCATGTTACAACAGAATGTAATGGTTGCATATAGAAATTAAACAGTTTTGGGAGGGAATTAATAAAGAGATTCATCTGATGACAAAATGCTGGCTTCTTGGATATCCCCTAACGTGTATTTAGTGCTCCAGTAAAGGGTTTTCATTTTAAACAAAACAACAAATTAATTTTTTTTATTGTTAGCAGCTAGACTTTATATTGCACATTATTGGGTATGACATTCCTCCTCTGGAATTTTGGTATAGTAAAATATGGACTGTCTTTGTAATGGAAAAGCTTTCGCACTACTTATGTACACAAGAGAAGAGACAGATATTTAGAAATGTGGTCACTCTTGTTAGTGTACTCGGAGGAGGAGGGCTCCCCAGCCAGCCAGCCAGAAGCTTTAGCCGGATTCTTTACTTGTTTAGCATCAATATTCAAGGTGTGATGTATGTTAATGTTCTATTGTAACTTTGCCTTAATAAAAAGGTTTTCAACAACAACAAAAAGTTTCATGATCGCCCTGCTGTCTATCGGTAAAGAAAGGAAGGATGGTCATGACCCACCGAAAACCTTTTTGTGACTCCGAGGTTTTAAATTCATGCTCCATGCTAACAGTACTTCAAGCCCCTTCCCCCACCCCAGGTGAAAGGGGAAATGTGGAGATGAGACATATTAAATTTTTCATAAACAGCATCACAAATTACAAACAGGCAACAAAGCTTTGTCACATGCCGTGTCTCCAGCACATCCACAGTAGCTGATAGATACCATCTGTTGGAATTTCCTCATGTGTTTTGTGTTGGAATTTCCAGTGTGAACTTGGTACCAATATAGTTTGCAGTGAATTTTGAGTCTTGGTGAGCAAAAACATTGAGGTACTTACTAGCTACTCTGTTTGAAATGGTTGTGGTGAGAACTCGTCTGAATTGTACTCTTCCAGAAAGTGTGTGTGTGTGTAATAACTGTACCCGCTACAATCTTTTACTTGTGTGGCTCTTCAGTGTTATCTGTCTGCTTGACTGAAATTTTCATAACTGCTCTGCTCTATTTCTAGGAGATAAAGTCATCCCGCTCTTTGTTCCACAGTGTGGAGAATGTAGCTCTTGCGTAAGCCCCAAGGGCAATCTCTGCACTACAAATGAGTGAGTTTCACTGATTATTATTATTCAAGCTATGATTTAGTCACAGGTATTTTTAGTACAAGTCATGGACAGGTCAGGGGCGTGACTTTTTGTTTATTGCCCGTGACCTGTCCATGACTTGTACTAAAAATACCTGTGACTAAATCTTAGGCTGGGGCACTCCCGCAGATGTTGCTGCTCCGTGGGGGGGGGGGGGGGGGGGGGGGGGTTGCTCCAGGGCCCCACTGTTGCTGGCGGGTAGGGGATGGAGGGGGAGCTCCAGGCCCATGCTGATGCTGAGGGTAAGGGGCGTCTGGGGCCCCACCACCGCTGCTGCTCCCGGCGCGGGGGGGTGGCCCAGGGCCCTGCCGACACTGCTAGGGAGCAGCGGCCTGGTGCGCCACTGCTGCTCCCGGACCACTGCTCCGGGGCCGCCCGAGCACTGTCCGGTGCCCAGCTGCTCCTTGCTTCCATGAAAGACTTGCAGCCTTAATTATTATCCTAAGTAATTTGATATCATTCATGCAAAACTGACCCACATTTAAAATATCGAATTTACCCTTATTTTTGGTTGTCTTTTGAATAGCCTTGGTGCAGTTCGCGGATTAATGAAGGATGGCACCACTAGGTTTACCTGCAAAGGAAAACAGATTAATCAATTTATTAGTACAAGCACCTTCACTGAATATACAGTGGTGCACGAGACAGCAGTTGTCAAAATTGATGCAGTTGCTCCTCCGGAGAAAGTGTGTCTGATCGGCTGTGGATTTTCCACCGGTTATGGGGCTGCCCTCAATACTGCCAAGGTGAGGATTAGCATGTGCGTTTAAAGGACAAGCTCTGTTGTTGGGATAGTGCTGTTTATTTGTGTGGGTCTAGTAAAGGGCATCAGCCTGAGAGTCAGGAGAACTGGCTTTGCTGCTGACATGCTGTTTGACCGTGGCCAGGAAATATCATCTCTTTGTACCTCCCTCGCTTTCCCCATCTGTGAGGCACTTTGAGTTCTACAGATGAAAAGCTATATACAAAAGCTAAGTAGTAGTATCGCATGTTGGTTTTCTCTGTTAGTTTTTATTTATCTTATGGCTCATTTTTAGGAGTAAATAATCTTGCATTTACTGAATTACGAAAAGGTTTCCTTTCATTTATCTTAAATAAATAAAGGCCTTCTATGAAATCATTGGTTCCCTGAAAGCATGGAGTTCTTCAGGGCTTGACAGTTTTCTGTGGCAACAGCTTTCATGCCGCAAAATTGGCCCAGTTCAGGTTTCTTTTTTGACTATACTTAATGAAAAGTAGAGAGAGGCTCCAACCAATGCCATGGATGTGAAGAGCCCCAAAGTTTATATGGAGGGTTACGAATCCAAATCCCCATGAGTATCTGATTTTACAGCTGGCCTCATCTCCAGAATGGGCTGAGCCCAAAGCCATAACCTGAACACCCCCAAACACAGGAGGGCATGAGAAATCTGTATTTGTGACTTGGGAACATCTCTAATACAAACCTACTCTCAAATGTATGCTGTGGTAGGTTTTATCCAGTTGTAATCCAATGATGGGACCCTTTACTTTGAATAGCAAAAATGCTTTTGTCCAATTTACAAGTGTAGTATCCAACACAAGCAGAGCCTAAAATGAAAAGATTTACAAGAAGATTCATGCAGTGGAATCACTATACATCACTTGTATTCTAAGAGAGTCTGATGGTTTTTATGATTATGCAGGTGGAACGGGGTTCTACCTGTGCTGTCTTCGGTCTGGGAGGAGTTGGCCTCTCCGTTGTCATGGGCTGTAAAGCCGCTGGTGCTTCCCGAATCATTGGGGTTGACATCAACAAAGACAAATTTGCCAAGGCTAAAGAGTTAGGAGCCACCGAGTGCGTCAACCCTCAGGACTTCACAAAGCCCATTGAAGAGGTGTTGAGGGAGCTGACTGGTGGTAATGGTGTGGACTATTCCTTTGAAGTCATTGGACGCACTGATACCATGGTATGTGACCAAAAGATGTAAGATGATGACGTTCATCAACTTCTGTCCAGAGGCTAGTGCAAAATTAATCAGCTGAGAGTCGCTTATCTAGTGTCTTGACACACTAAGGACCCAATCTAAGGTGCTGAGTGCCTCCATTAAGTGGAAATTCAAAATGGTGGAATCCACATGCCTCACACTGATATTCTGGGATCGCGGGAGGAAGATGGGGAGGGGGAACTTTTTGTAGAAACTTTGAAAAAGAAAATATACTGCCCCCCTATGCTGGCCATGTTCAGCTAGGAGGCAGAAAACTCTGAGGGCCTTATTACTCCAGTTTTATCATTGATCTCTACTGAAATTAATTGAGTTACACTAGTATAAAACTGCATGGAGGATTGCATTTACAGAGATTCCTTTGCTTTTCTCTGTTTGGTGTGAGTGCAGTGGTTTTGCCCCCTCGCCCAAGGCAGCAGCATTGGGGTTCACCCCCAATCCAGCAACTCTTTCCAATCTGTAGAAGCATGAAGGCATCTGCACAAAAACCCTGTACCGCCACAGCGGCACCTGGAAGCCATACTGCTAGAGAATGAGCAGGTAGATAGACTCCTGCCTACCCGTGGATCCCAGTCCACCCAGATCCTTCATGGAGAGGCCTTTGCAGGTTGGGTAATAATGGTGAGGAATGATGCCAAGGAGGCAGCACTACCCTCTTTGGCTCCCCCACCTATCAATACTTGGTTCCACCAGGCTAGGACTTTACAATATTTTCAGTCACACAACCAATTAACAGCTTGGAGTGGAAGATGATTTCATAATGTTGTTTCTTTGTTTTAAATCAGACAGCTGCCCTGGCATCCTGCCACATGAATTACGGAACGAGCGTGATTGTAGGAGTGCCTCCGTCAGCGTCACAGATCACCTACAATGCCATGCTGCTCTTCACTGGACGCACCTGGAAGGGGTCTATTTTTGGAGGTATGCACATGAGAAGAAGTGACCAAACTCTGTTGTGTGCTTGTGAAATTCACAGATTCTTGGACCAATTATTTTCAAATTTGGGTGCCTAAATCCATATTTAGACTCCTGACTAACGGGTCTGGCTTTTCAGAGATATTGAGCCGTGTTCTGCTGATCAGGGAGTATGTTGGGCCCAAGATGGGATAAAGACATTAATGAAACCCTTGTTCATTGTTACAACATTAAGCAGTTATGCAAATGTGACTTGGGGTTTCATGTCAAGTTATCCCTGGCTTACTCCCACTGTTAAAAAATATTTTACACTTTTATTAAAGACACACAGAAGAGAAAGGAAAAACTGTTAAAGCTTTTGAAAGGTAAAGTGTTAAGCAAAGCTTTCGTTTGAACAATATCCCTTATTTCCTCTCCCTGTAGCTGTCTTTTATAGGTAGAAACCTTGCTTAGTAGTCTTTTTGATAGCATTAAAGGTAGTATCAACTGTCCTTTTTGGGGGGGGGAACGTTATATGGTCTGGAGATGTTGTTGAAGTCCAATCTTGTTTTCTTTAAGACAAACAAACACACACACAAACGGGGGGGAAGAATGAGCCACTTTAAGACCTGGCAAAGTTTTTTTTACTTGCCTCTGGTCACAGGATCCCAGCAGCGCTAAGGTGGAGTTAAGGCAGTAGATAAGCCAGACTTACTAGATAGGAAGCAAAACTGGAGAGCTTAGGAAAGAGGAGAAATAAGGTGGGGACTTATTCTTGGCATGTTTTTTCCACCAGGCTCATAGTTTGTTCTCTCACAAACCCTGAAGTTACAGTTTTATTGTCTGTTTACAGTCAAACATCAGAGGGAGCCATCTGACTCTAATTCTCATTTTATAAATTTGTTTTTGATTTCAAAACATCTCTGACCATGAGATTTTTGAGCCCAGATCCCCAGTGGGAAGTAGGCACTTAAATACCTTGAGGATCTGGGTGTTGGGTCCCTAATTTAGGCCCCCATGATTGAAATAACTCTTACAGAAAGACATTTAGAAAATTTCAACATTAGTTCTAAGTTGTCACATACAAAAAAACCTATTTCAAGTGACCCAGGTTAAAATGAATTGAAGTGTTGTGTATATGATTGCAAACCTTAGGGGTACACGGTGAGTTTGCGTAGCCAGTGTAAGTCAAACAGAGTGATATTGAGTGGGAAAGGATTGGACGGCAGGAAAGCAACTGGCTGGATTCTATAAAGTTTCATTTGCAGACATTCGAACATTTGAATTTGTTTAAAGACGCTTTTTGTTTGCACATAGCGTTCCATGGGTAAATAAATGTACATTGACAAGTCCCAACAAAGTCTTGATTGATGCATTGCTCTGCCAAATTTAATTATTTTTTCACATTTATTATTTCAGTGGCAGTATGTTGCTAGATAATGTACAATCTTCTGTCTTTCAGGCTGGAAGAGCAAAGATTCTGTCCCTAAACTAGTTGCAGACTACATGGGGAAAAAATTCAACCTGGATGCATTAATAACCCACACTTTGCCTTTCGATAAAATCAACGAAGGATTTGAACTACTGCGGGCAGGGAAGAGGTGGGAGTCATTTATTTATTCATCTGTAAATTCACTGTAATGTAATGCAATCTTCTGTACTCTGTATATCTCCATTCATTCCTCAGAGGTAATTTTAACTTTTTAAATCATGCTGTATTATTAGAGGCCCTCAATTTTTTGGTAAGTGACTTGTGATGTTCCAGCAAGTATTTTATATTCTCCAAAAGAAGAGGTCATGATCCATCATTGGAGAAATGGTCTGAGTTAAACAGCATGAAGTTTAACAAAGTTAAAAAGTTTGTTTAGTTTGGAAAAGAGAAGACTGAGAGGGGACATGATAGCAGTTTACAGGTATCTAAAAGGGTGTCATAAGGAGGAGGGAAAGAACTTGTTCACCTTAGCCTCTAAGGATAGAACCAGAAACAATGAGTTTAAACTGCAAGAGGAAAAGAATTTGTCCTTTCACACATTAGCTTTATTCAAAGGAGCTTTTCAAATTAAAAGTAAAGATACAGTTCAGCTGAGCAGTTATTACATTGTTTTAAAATTGTTAGTTATTAACATGATGCTGATTTATAAAATGTGTTAGGGCTATTTTGGCCAAAGTTCAATTAGAATGTTTTTGAAAGCTGAGCCCTGCTTCAGGAAAATGAAACCAGTCATGCCTGCCAACACTGCTGCAGCTCTTCATAATATAATATTAGTCTAGTTGATGGTAGGATAATATACATTCCTGACATGAAAGCAAGAGGACTGCATCTCAGGATTTCATTAGGGAGGTCTACAATGATGACAAAATAGTTCCTCTTATTCAGAATAAGGTATGCATAAAGGCTGCAGCACTAGGAAATTTACTCTTGGGAACTGTCATGAATTGGACAGGGAAGGGAATGACTAAATGACCCCATGGGAACATCAATCATTAACCTGACTTTTTCTGTTTCAGTATCCGCACTGTCCTGGTGTTTTAGGATCGGCATGGGGGGTTATCAACAGCATGACACATTTCATCCATATTGTGAAATCATAAAACAAAGTGTGGAAACTCTTGGATGATTCTTTGCTACTACTAGCTGAGTAAAATGGACCAAACAAAAGCTGGAGTCATCTGGACAGATTTTGATTATGATTACTGAGGAAAGGTCTTTTACTACCCTGAATCCTCACTGTTTATTTAGGTCTTTGTCTAGGTGCCTTCTTCCTTTGAACTCCCAACCCTCTCCCTCTATGAAAACTTGTACCTGGGTCCAGAGCTTTATTACAATGTTTCTATTGAAGGCTGTATAGTTATTTTCACTGTTTAAATACAGCATCATGTGAGATGAGAGGAGAAGTCAATTTCAGTCCATATCTGTATTTAAGCAAGTAGACATTCAAAATGATCACATTAAGAATTTTGTTATATTTGAGTTGTAAACTTAGCCTTAACTGATGTAGTCCTTGATATGTATTGATTCTATCAATATAAATATATATTGATAAACTATAACTCAGTTAATGATTTTTTGTGGGTGAGTTAATATTACACATTTTTAAACAGTGTACCTAATAAATGTTAATGAAAGCTGAGATTTTCACATAAAATATCATGAGACTCAAACTTGTGAAAGTTCGCAATCTCATTAAATAAAAAGAACCCATAATTTTGAACACTTGGGATTATAAATACTGGAACAATCACAACAAAAGATCATCCCTGCTTCCAGCTTCCACACAGTTGTTTGTAAACTTAGCAAACATTATTTCCCTAAACAGTGGCATTGCACTTACTTCAAGTTAAAGCCTCTGTGTTAAAACTCAGCAGTATTGCAGCCCCGTCATGCAAGTGTTTAAGGGCAAATAAGCTATCATGGACAGCTACATCTTTTTCCTGATTAGTCCCCATCAATAGTGACTAGCTATGAGGGAGGTTGCTACACTTTTAAGCAGAGGTTCTGGAATATGCATATGCTTTAGAAGTATTCAAATTCTCACTGAATTCAATGGGTGTCCTTGCCTCCTCCCCTGGTCAGGCTAAGTACTTAATTTGAAATTAGTAGGCACCACTGCATGTAACTGGGGTGGAAATCTCTGTTACAGTGGACAAGAAACCTTTAGCACTACAAGGGGGGACGGACTCCTTCTAACCCTGAGAAAGAAAAAAATGGGTCATTTTGTAACTCAAAGCAAAGCACTGAACAACAATGAAATGCCTTCAGTTGTGTGAAGCTATTCCACAAACAACGTTTTTCTTTAAAAGGAAAACATTTAAGAAGGTTCCTAAAAAGCAGCAGAACTGAGGCTCTGTAACTAGTCCCAGTGGCAAGTCGCTCCCACCCTCCCACCCGCGAGCTGCAGGCCGGCCCCCGGCATCGCGGCGCGCTCGCGTTGGGGGAGCGGTCCCGGTACCTTCCCTGACGTACGTGCAGCAAACGCCGGAGTCCGGGAGCTCTCCTCGGCCGCGAGACACGCGCCGCTCCAGCTTCTTCCTTGCTCCGGATGCTGGAGCAGCCGCCGCTCTCTCGCGCGGGAGCCACTTCCGGCTTTGTACCCCGCCCGCGCCTCCCCATTGGGTAGGCAGGCGACCAATGGGACGCTGTTCCCAAATGCGCATGCGCCGGTCAGACCGGCTGGTGGCGCCGGAGGCTGGCTGCTGTGCGGGGCCTGGGACCTCACGTTCCGCGACCCTCCTGATGAGTTACAGCCTCTGCTTCCCCCCCCCCGGGCCATTGGTTTGTGCCAGCTGCTGTCCCCGCCTCGCTGAGCTGCATTACACGAGCAACCGGGAGCCAAGCACTGCAGGGACACAGACCAAAAAGACAATATCCCGCCCCAAAAGCAAACTGTGACACGAGAGAGAAATGGGCACAGCAGCAGACGGGGCAGAGCGCTTAAGGCAGCAATAACCAACCCTCTGTCATATTTCGATTTTATCTCCACTGAACTTGTACTAAGACGATGTGGAAAGGAGAACCCAGACATGGGCCGTCTCCTTGCTGTGACTCCACCACAAGGTGGAGACGTGTACAGCACCAGGTGCAGGTTGCACAAGTGAGAGGGTGCTTTATCACACTGACATTCCCCTGGGTCAGGAGGCTCCTCACTCCCACCACGACCCCTCTTTCCCCCCACCCTCTAGTTACACGCAGATTGTGCTCCCTGCACAGGAAGAGCTAGGTGCTCACAGCCACTACGGTGCCCAGCCACTGAACGCTTTCCCAAATGAATAGTACATACTGGCTTGTAAGATTCAACCCAGGACCGGCGCTTGGCTTAACCACAGGTGCTGAGATTACAGGAAATAATAAAATTAACAACAAAGAACAGAGTTTAATAAGAATGTTGGAAACCAGTCATTACCTAAACCGCCAAAATCATAGCACGCTTTTTAGACACAAACTATCAGGTTAACCTCCTGGCTGAAGACGTTTCTCTCACCCAAAGTCAAAGTCTGCAGCGGCGTTTTCAACCGAGGCTGCCTGCAACCCACGCTGTCCCTTCGCTTGCCAGGTGCAGGAGGAAGAGGTGTCTTCTGTGCCTTCTATATATACCCCCGATGTTCACTGTCTTTACTCGGAGGGGGATAATCTCCTGGAGCTTGTTTTCGCCTGCACACTCCTTTTCTGTAGAGTTCACATCTCTTTATTACATAAACTTTGTATGTAAACAGGCGTGCGGTCTCTTTTACAATGCTACATTCACATCCAAACAGAGACATATCCCTTTCAGAGTTTAAACACATATTTTCAGTATATATACACACAACTCCTTACACAGTATCTGTACAACATTTCTTGCTCCGAAACCCAAGCCTGCTTCTCCAGCCCGCCCCATGTCCAAAGGAGCTGTTTCTCTGCTTCCTTCCAAGGGCCTAACTTCCTTTACTGTCTGTTAACTTTCTGCCCAGAACACAGCCGATCCCTCAGCCTCTGCGTATACAACCGGTCCCAAAGACACCCCTCAGCTTCTGATTGGCTGTGCCATGCGGCCCGGTGTCTCAGGTGGTAGCTCTCCATTGCTCACAGCTATCTCTACACAAAGGGGCATTTAATTGCTCCTTCTGCTTAGCTGGAAAGAAAAGCTCTTTACACACTCAGGTCTGTGATTCTCTATAGATCAAAGAGCCATCATCACCTTTCAGAATAACAACAGTTAATGTCCACATATTCTGGAATGGGTATGAATCCTCAGACCTCTGGGATAGGGCGCAGGGGCTGTTGAGACAGGGACTCCCCTTGCCTGGTGCTGAGATGCAGCCACCTCTGGGGTGAGGTGTGGGGGCTGTTTATACAGGGATCCCCATGGGCACTCTGATTTATAATTTAACCCTTTGGGGACTGCATGGCAGGCAAAGTAAGAGAAGTTTAACCACAGTAACTTTTACCCTCAACACACACAAGAGTCACAGATATTCAGATAAAACAAGCAAAGCCCATATGGCTCCCCCACCCCCTCCCTGTCTCTGCTCACCCCTCCTTGAGAGTCCACATGGTAGTCCTGCTGGCATTGTCAGGTGATGCTCAGCTGATGAACCAAGTCATGTATTTCCAGGAGTTACTGAGACATTTCAATGCTGTGGACCAGGCCTCATTTGGAATCCTAGGCCCAATTCGTGGCCCCAAATAGGAATCCTAACTAAGACAGAGCAGGACAACTACAATGCTCAGGGAAACAGCCCACAACTCTTCCAAGAGGAGACTGGAAGAGTGTGGCTTGTTTGGCTTAAAACCAGGGATGTGGTTGCTCCCTGTAAGTACACCAGGGAAGAGAAGGAGCTAGTGAAGCTAAAGGACAACGTTGTCCCAAAAGCCAACGGGGATAAACTCACCAGGGCTCAGCTGAGGCTGGAAATGAGAAGACTGTTCCCACCCACCAGTAGATGGGGGGGGGGGGGTCTGGAAAACCCCAAACTAGCTGCAAGCTGGAGCAGTTTCTGAAGAAGATTCTCTGTCATAGCCCTTCCCATAGGAGGGAGCCCGGCCTAGATCCAGCCCTTAAATAAACTACCCACTGATCAGCTGCAGGTGGTGACACTCCCTGTCCATCTGGAGATCAGCCTGGCTCCTCCTCCTACCAAGGCATCCACAGCTGATGATGACTGTGGTGTCAGCCCTTACAATGAGCTGCCCTGGGTCTCTGCTGACAGCTCAAGGTTCTCATAGACCCCAAAGCCCGAAGGGATCCCTGTGATCATCTAATCTGTCTCCCGTCTGACCCAGGCCCTGAATTAATCCCTGCTTGAACCAGAGCAGCTCTCTTAGGAAAACATCCCATCTTGATTTAAACCTGGCCAGAGCTGGAGAATGCACCGCAGCTCATGGGGGGAGCTGTAAACCAGGATGCCCGTGTTCTATCCCCAGCACTGGGAGGGGATTGGGGTCTAGCGGGGGGCTAGAAGCCAGGACTCCCAGGGCCTGGAGGTGGATGGGGGGGAAGAGGGGCTTTAGCACAGCCCAGGCTCTTCTCTCCCCTTAATGTCCTGGATCTGCCAGTCAAAAGGACCCAAGTCCCACCTGCCTACTCAGCAATGAGCCAGATCGCTGTTCTCCTGTACCCTCCGTGCCTGGGCACTGACCCACAAGGCCCTCTCCCGCTTGCCTGAGGCTCTCCCGCCCATAACACTCTCCCACCTTGCTCCTGTTCTTGCTCAGGATGCACCTTGCCCGGGCCGCCTTCAAAGTCTGTACCTTCAATGGGCACAGCTTTGGAGAGGCCAAGTGGCCAATGTGCGGGTGATAAGTGCACTGACTGAGGCGCTTGCTGGGGGGTGGTTCTGAGACTGACCTGGCTCCACAGGGGGTTTTAGGAACCCGCCTGGCTCTGGAGGGATGGGGGGTGGGTCTGTCATGGGCTCTGCCCGGGGAGCAGGCGCTGATAAAGCCAGTGCGGTGCCTGGCTGCCTACGCCCCCCCTCCTCAGCGTGCATCTCTGCAGATCCTTGTGCTCTGTGACATTGCCATGGTGCAGCAGGCCTGAGACAGCACGGGAAACGCTGTCCTGGCCCTAGCGAAGGAACTCACCGGGTACCGGGCCTAGCCAGGATGCCCGGGTTCTATCCCTGGTTCTCAAAGTGGGAATGGGTCTAGTGGGCTAGAGAGCAGGGGAGCTGGGTGCTATCCCTGGCTCAGGTGGGGAAAGGCAGGGGGTGAATGAGGTGATGTTCACTGCTCTTTCCCTGGGCAGGTACAACCTGTGCCATCGCTACGCCCAGTTGGGGAGCCAGAGACTTGGGCACGGGACCTACAAGGAGCCGGTCATCTATGTGTATCAGTAAATTTCCCCCAAAGCACCCCTCAGTGTCAGGTCCCCATGTCCCTTTCCCCACCCCCTTGAGCCAGCCAGTCCCCCTGCTTGGAATCTGGATTGGATCTGGCATCCCCCTACAAAGGAAAGGCCCTGTGTCCTATTTCCCCCACACACACACACTCCCGAGCCAACCAGTCTGCCTCCCTGCCCTGGGGCCGGATCGGAGCTAGCACCCGTGGAAACCCATGCTCTGGGCTGGCT